CATCCAGCAATGTCTCTTTCTTGCTGAATATCTAAGGATCCAACTTAGTTGACCCACGGCACCAGGGCAGATCTAAGGATCCTAAAGTTGACCCACGGCACCAACTGTTCAGTGACTTTGCTCCAACAAAAATCTAATGTTAGCATACTGTATTTGAAGCCATCATGACACTCAGGGCTTCGTTTCTACATCCACATTGGAAATCCTTGAGCCAAATAGGTTGACATGTGTTTTTCACTAGGTAAACTACCACCACAAAATGTCATGGTTTTTTCAATGGGAATTCCAGGATACTAAAATGGAGGCTACCTACCATATATAAGGCCTATTTTTCAGGGCTTTTTTCCGGGGATATACACCCAATTTCTATGGCTAGAAATATGGTACTAACGTACCTCTATTTTATTCTATAATTTTAGGATCCTGAAATTCCCATGTTTTTTTTTGGCCACGTCGGAGTTGATCCGACGTGGGGATTTTCCATGAAATTCTAGCAGGCGCCCTCTTCCGACGCGGTGGAGACTGGCACGAACGAGGCAGCACTGGCGCCGGAATATTCGAGCCTTGGAGCGCCCTTTCGCGGGGGTGGAGTTGGGGATGGGATGCTTCTGATGCGAAATTACTCATGCTGGTTGGTGGTTTGGAACATGACTTTCATTTTTCCATCATAATTGTATGGGAATTTAACCCCAACTGACTTTCATATTTTTCAGAGGGGTAGGTATACCACCAACCAGGATGATATTTTTTAGGGTCAGATACGTTGAAGCAGCTGAAGCATCATGCGATTCGGATTCTTTACGTCGGTCAATCGGTGAGTGATCGACCGAAAAGGTCATGTTTCCTGGAAGACTTTGCCATGAATGCTGCGGGAGTGGGTATTTCATGGGTATTTCGACGTTCCCCTCTGAGTGGACTTCAAGCACAAAGGGAAGCATGACATTTCTGAATGGGGATGCAAGCCCAGTGACAAAACTGAACCAACAACTGGAGAACAAATGGCCAAGTGGGGATGGATCGAAATTTTCTCCGTTGCCTAAACTCCAACATCGAACTAATGTTGAAGTGAAAAGCATTCAACTGCCCCCTGAAAGCCACATGATGTGTAGGTCAACACCTAGGACATTAGGACTCCAATCCACACACCTAGGACATTAGCATTCCAGTGTTGGCCGCCCGATGCATCATGACCATGACTGAGGGAGACTTGAAAATCTTGAAAGTTAATGCTTCTTTCATCAGCTTTGAAACCATCAGATTTTCGATTCAAAATCGAAGCTTTGAAATCTTTGGGAAAATTACCCTCTGGTAAACTAACACAACTATGGAAAATCACCATGTTTAATGGGTAAATCAACTATAAATTGCAATTTTCAATATGTTAGTTTACCAGAGGGTAACCAGAATGGTTCCAGTGTTGCCAGTATCGTCATCTCTCCCAGGAACAACGGCCGCCTTCAGCTGTTGGTTTACACGGAAAGTTCCTTCGTGGAACAAACGACGCCAGGGGCCTTCACTGTTACGGACCAGCGCCTTGACATTTGGAACATTTTTATGGACAGCAATTGGAAAACATATGGAACATATGGAACATTTATGAACGAATTATGGGAAAATCATGGAAAATCTGATTATGGACAATTTGTTGAAAAAAATGAAACTTCTGCAGTGCGATGGTTCTGGGTATAGTTTTTTTGGCACTCCAGGTGGACATACATGGATGTTCGTGGATGTTGGTGGGCGCGATCATCCAACAAAAATGGTTCAATATGTCTCAATCATTCTGAGTTGGACATCATAGGAATTTGCCTAGAAAAAGAATCATCAGGGAACATGGTGCAGTAGCCAAATCCTGCCTGGTTTGAACACATTTCAAACATGTTTGGGCCTGTTGTCTGAGCCACAACCATTTGGTGCCCACAAAATTCTTTGGATGCAGCTTATCCCCTATAGCCTTTCACGGCCTGTCTTTGCCATTAAGAAACCACCTTGGCTTTGGACGTCCAACATATTCAGGTTCAACAAATGCGGCATGTTCTTCCCATTTGGCTGACAAGTCCAATTGGGCATCCTGGTAAGAGCCATGGATTCCCTCTCATTTTCCATTAAAGCAGCCCAGTGAACCCCACTTCACTGGTATTCAAGTCATATGTAACACGTATAAAAAACACATAAGACTCAATAACTTTCATGAAGAACTCATGGAGACACATTACAGTAAGTGATTTGGTGGTTCTAAGTGATCCAAATCTTGTGGTTCTAAGATGTTCTGAGTGAGTCTCCTGCCCATTAAAACACATCAATTTTCAACCCAGCTGATGACCCCTGACCAACGGCTCGTCGTGTCAGGAACGCCACGGCCGAAGACGTGACCTTCGAGGATTTGGATCTGGATTATGTGGAGCTGGGAGGCGATGAACAACGGTGAACTCTGTGTAGTGTGGTTTATGGATGAGCCAAGGATGATGATGAATAGTTGACTTCAAAAACCTGGGTTTATCACATTTTATTACTTGGTTCACTGGGTTTATAACTTGGTATACTTGGTTTATAGCCTGAGTTTTAACTTGATTAATGATTAGCTGTTGGGTTGATGGGTTTCTGGGGTGTGCAACGGCATAGGGTAGCCATAATGGATTTAGCAAAGAGAATTTGGGGATTTCATGAGATTTATAGCTGATTGTGATACTTAGCCAATGATGGTGTGAAAAATGGATGAACTGAGATATATGGTGAAGGAAGCATGAAAGAATGGGAGATAGTATATAGTAATGTGATGGGGATATAACGGGGATCCTATGGGGGATAGAACTATAATTATAATCGACTAATATGAACTATAGTGATGAATAGATATAGTGATTTGATCAACACAATTTTGGGATTTCACAGGATTCATAGCTGATTTATGACAGTTAAGCTGACGCACATAACTTGGTTAACTATATCGAGTTTATGTCGGATACAACTATAATTCACTATGGCGTTTATGAACCAACTTATGAAATCGTGTATACTCTGGCATTCAAACATGGCTGGCTGGAAAATACCCTATACATGGAGGCTAATAGCTGGGAAAATCTTTATTTCCGCAAGCAAGCCATGTTTGATTACCGGAGGGTAATCACCAAGAGAGGTATATTGAACTCATGGATGATTTCCTGCAATTTATTTTCTATTATCACCCTTAAGTGGTTGGTGGTCTGAGATATTTGATTATTTGATTATATTTGTTTTCTTCGGGCATAGAAATGGATCCCAATTGACATCAATTGACCAATGTTATTCAGATGGCTTGCAAATACCAGCCAGTTTAAACATATCATATATATCTATATATAATGTACTCACCAAAGAAGATACCGAACAGCTGAGATTTATCATGATTTGAGAATCAGATTTTACCAGCTTGGATCTTTTTGGAGTTGATATTATCTATATATATGATTGTTGATGAACCATAGTTATCAACGGATAAAATCACTACAATGGGTCCATACGTACAAACAATAGTGATTGATTCTAAGTAATGATTAATGATACAATTATTAATAATACCATCATAATCACAATGATAATCATTGATAATCACATGACAATCAACCCTTTTTGAGTTTTGTCCATTTTATTTATTTCATGATTGCTACGATGATGACTCTTTTATATATCATTCTTGGCGTTGTCATCATTATTTTTATATATTACAATGTTTAGCTTAGTGTTAGTATACTGGTGTTATTATTGTTTGTGTTTGTTATCAAACACCCAAGCGGTAAGATAACTTGGTTTAGAGTTCAGCCGGTTCAGGTTTTGTGGGATTTGCTGCTCCGAACGGAATGGTGAATTCCTACTGAGAGTTCAGCAGGGGTGTGGGTACCCACCAGATATTGGATGTCACCAACAGACTTTTTGGAATATATGATAATATCTGACATGTCCAGATGTAATACCTATATGTCCAGATGTTACTAGCCTCAGGTCATTCAACATAGCTATGCAAAATCACAATTTGTTGGAAAGGGAAATCTAGCAATGGGGGTCATTTTCCATAGCTATGTTGAATTACTATGTCGGCTACGTGAAACTTCTTGACCGTTTCACTACCGTTAACCATGTCAGCACTTAGAAGATGGACACTGTAGGTTTGCTGGTTTGAGGGTGTAGCACCATTTCCGGACACACCCAAGTATTTGGATAAAGTTGTAGCGACCTCACATCGCGACGTCACTTGAATGATGGTTAATAAGGGGATCATCCCCGAATGACCTTGTTTTATTTTATTTCAGCTTTGTGAATTGTTATAATTCATTATGATTTGTCCATCTATAGATAACAATCTATCTATGGATAGATTATTACACTATACATTAGTTATTATGGATATTATGGATCATTATCCAGATATATCACCATATAGTCATAGGACAAGGAAGATCTTCCGCATCGCCAGTCACCTTGGTTCCGCATCTACGCGACAGGCACGCTCTTGTGGTCCGCCCCCAGCATGACCAGTGAGTTGACGCAATACAACATCTACTTGGCTGAGGTCCAGCCGTTCCAAAGGGTCGGGTGGGGCGGGCTTGGAAACTGGAAGTGATTTCACCCGGGATTCAACGCAGTGGATCATGATATCTGGATATATCTGGATAATATCCATAGATCTGGGTAAATTATAACGACCTCACTGTTCTCCCTCACTGGATTAAAGGTTAGTAAGGGGAATCATCCCCAAATAGCCTTATTTCAGATTAGTGAATTATGATAATTTACCCAGATAGATGATATATCTGGATAATGATCCATAATATCCATAGATGGAATATGATCACAATAACAAGCTGTATAGTGTAATCATCAACTTTGTCCAACTCCCAAAATAATCATTTTTTGAAGAAACTAGAGGTCCCCATGAGTCCAATGGTCAGTTTACCATAGTTTCCCCACCATTTCAAGCTGGCCATTGATTTTTTTGGATTCCATCGATTCCATCATCGCGGCAGGATTCCGTTGGCCTGGTTCGGAGCCTCTACGCCAACCTGAGCTACGAAAACCTCAACCTCTCGGTGCCGGCGGAGACGAATAGCTCCGACAATAGCTACTGGCTGGTGCCTGGGAGGTGAAAAGATGTGGAGCTTTTGTTTCCTTTAAAAAGACGAAGACCTAACCCTCTATATAATAACCATATATTAACCATCATGAACCATATAATAACCATATATTAACCATATATTAACCATATTTTCCATGATGAAATCCCCCATTTTTCATCCTGAAAACTTCCGGTCCCCAGGTCTACACCGCCTCGACTTTGGTGGAACAGACGACCCCGGCGTCGCTGCAAATCTTCGACCGCAACGGAACGGTGTCTGAGCCCACCTTCACTGGCGGGGACCGAGGGCAAGGGAGGGCTGGGGGAGTGGAGGCCCACCTTTTCCCTAGTGAGTTATGGCTGGAAAATAGGGAAAATGTATGATTATGTGGGATTTATATGGGATTTAATGGAAGATTAATGGGATTTAATGGCAGATTAATGGGGTTTAACAGCTGATGAGTAGGATTTATATGGGATTTAGATGGATTTAGTGGGATTTCATGAACAATTGATGAATGGGATTCCAATATTAAGCACCCCCCAGAAACCATGGTGAACCATGGTGGATGTAGGAGATTTTTTCCACCATCAAAGTCAAGGGATTCACCACATTGGGAACTCTTGGGGGATGTGGGGTTTGGTCTGGGTTTGTCTGAACATGTTGAGAAGACCCATGGAAAAACACATTTTGATGATTTACAAATCTCTATATATATATATATCCACACTAAGAATCTTAAACAGCCAGTTTGGGGAATGATATCCATTTTCTAGACACACTCATTCATATGGTGAATGTATAGACCTGTTTTTTTTGGATTTGCTGGGATTTCACAGAGATTGGGATTTAACACGATTTAAGCAACAAGGAATATGGCCATTGGTCAGGTCATGGTCCCATGGTGGGTCCACAATCCTGAGCCATAAAGGATATCCCGGATATCCCTATTGATGGCTTCATATGAGGGGTTATACTACCTGGTTGGGGATAATTGTAGCATACAAATTAACCCCAAATGATGTTAAATTGGGATATCTATTAACCAACCAGTATGATGGAATGAGAACACAGGCTGGTTTTTCATGGCTCGGTCCAGAAGTTATGTGGGTTCATCTTTCCAGAAGTTATGGGTTGTCCAAGGAGGTATGTAAAATCTTTGGGCCAACCCTGGATGGCTATCCCGAAAATACATTGATCTCTTGAACCATGGGGATTGCATCCCAAGTGGGTCAGCCAATTGCTTCGTCTACGACGCAGGACTTGAATTTGGATGTGCTGGAGGGTACATTGTCTTGGACTCCACAGGCCACAGGGCTTTGCGAAGCAAAACTGGTTGGTGCTTGGAACATGGCTTTTATTTTTTCCATATATATATATATATATGTATATTGGGAATGTCATAATCCCAACTGACGAACTCATATTTTTCAGAGGGGTAGGGCTCAACCACCAACCAGAAAACCTGTTGGAGTTCCTGCTATTTGTTTCGAAGAAACAAGGCAGTTGTGGGATTTAGTCTTCAAGGAGACTGATAGACTACAGTGGCCCCAGTGTTCCCCAAGCGGAGATCCTTGAAACTATTGGGATTATTGGGAAAATCAGCACTTCCAAAACCTGATTCCTTGCAAAAATAGTGGAGGACGGTGCATTTCAATCGCACTCCATCTTGTAGAAAAACACGAACACTTCGCAAGGATTCACCATTTCATACCAGTACCATTTCTGGTTGTTATTTTTGCGAGGTTTCGCTACAAATCACCAATTTTCTTGTTGAAATCCCCATAAACCCAACATTGAACCAAGCTATAAGGTGGTATACACCAACCTTCTAGTGATCCATTTCGATTTTGGATCCTCTTGAAACCTTCAGTTAAGTTGGGTCACACACGAAAGCCGCACTTTCCAGGCGAATCCAGAGGAAATTCAAGGCATTCAGGCGGGGCAACTTCCAAAAACCGATGATGTGAGGAGCCTGGAAAATCCCTTCAACTCCGATAGTTTCAGATGTTGGGATCTTTTGACGCATTTTTCATCATTTTTCCATCGGACATATAGACTTCGTGGGAGATAGACTTCGAGCCAGGACTACGTGGTTTACTTGGCCAGTAGTGAGATGGGGGAGTCGAGATCTCAGGCGCGCCAGACTAGCCATGACTGGGGCAAGGAGGACACCATAGCACTCTTCAAAGGAGGACATGTCGAGCCTGTCACGTTGAAAAACATCTAGTCAGTCATGATTCAATCTCAGAACCTTTATGTTCATGAATTTTCATGCTTAAAACTTTTAAGGACCATCTATAATTCATCCATATAAATCTGAACATCATCATCATCATCATCATCATCATCATCACCATCATCATCATCATCATCATCTACACATCGAGATATTGTCCAGCCCACCATGTTGCTTATCCATTCCATGCAGCCCACCATGCAGGTCGAGTCAGCCGTGGCCGCTGGCACGAATCAGCTACGTGGCCAGGGTAATTTTTAGGGACCCTTGGGGGATGCCACGAGCCGAAGCCTGTTTTTTGCGAGCCCTGGACTCATGGTTACAGTAAGGGAAATCATCCCCAGCCATGGCCGAAGCGCAATGGAAGTGTGTGGCCGAACTCTTCAGGTTGGTGAATGATTATAATTTACTCAGATCATTATCAAACAAGGAGGATTTTACCAGCAACTGGGATGGATGACGATCGATGCATGAAAATTATATGGATTGAAGCGACAAAAATCAGGATTTTACTTGGAACTACTGGAGGAGAGTTGGGATTTCGTATGATTTAGCTAGGGTTAGAATGGGGTTTTGGCGAAAAAACAGGGGAAATTAACACGGATACACTGGGATCATATGGGATCTAAAACCAACCAACCAAACTCAGAATTCTATCAGGAGAAATTCGGTTTTAACCATGAACAACTGGTGAATCAACTAGGAAACCTGGTCCGTGAAGGGTCTGTTTTTATGCCATATAATATCCCAAAGTGGGGCCCCGGTTACCCTCTGGTAAACATACACAAAACTATGGAAAATCACAACTTTTAATAGGTAGATCAACTATTTCTATGGGCCATTTTCCAGTTCGCTATGTAACAAATTACCAGAGGGTATGGGAATCGTGGTGTTGTTTCACCCATCTACCTCCTAGTTCGAGAAAAACCATAAACCTACCCTCCAGCGAAACCGTGTTTCAAGCTCCGCAGGAATCGTTTTTTCAGGATTTCACCTAGCCCACAGATCCTAAACATCAGCTGATCAGATTCCATGATGTCCCCATGACATATCCCTATAGATCCCAAAACCTATCACTGATTGGTGGTGATTCATTCTCATATCCTATCATTCAATCATTATATAATTTTATCTTCATGATATCCCTATGATTGGTGGTTATATCACCATCATTCAGGGGCCACACCTTGTACGCTAAAATGGCGCTGAGTGTCCCAAAAGAAACGCCGTTTCAGGTTGTCGCTCCCAGCGAGTCTGTCGCGGGGCTCGCAAACGCACTTCCTGGTCTATGCCAGGTGCTGCAGGGGAGAGTGGAGCCATGCGGAGCCATGTGGAGCCTGCCTCATCAATGCCTCATCAACGTTTTAAATGGAACAGTTTGCGATTGTTATTCACCCATCCAACTGTCCTCAGACTGTGTCATATACTATAATGTAATACAATATTGTATTATAATATATATATATAATATCCTCCATCAACCCAACACCTAGCCTACTAATGTTTACCAACTTACCCGTCGTTTGGAGCTACTGTTTGGGGTTTCAACAAACCAAACAGGTGATGTACATCGTGCTGTCACCCCTTAGTAACCATGGTCCATGGTTGGTTCATTCTTGGTGGGACAAAGACATCACACCAACATCCAAGTACTAGCATTCTCTAGGACTGTCAAGGATGTTGGTTTGCTAGGACTATCTAGGATCATCCCCAACATAGAACCTACATAGGATGTTAGTTAGGATCATCCCCAACATAGAAACAGCTGGATTATCTTCTAGGACTCCTTCCATTGAAAAACAGCACCCTTGAACAAGTCCAAAATCCATCTCCTTTGGTCGAGCCTGTGGCGTCCTTTTACTGGTCATCCAATGGGAGTAATCCATGAGTATACCAATGTATCAAAATCCACTACCACATGTTCAGACACAAAAACATCATAAAACTCACAAATGGTGGGCCCATATTTTTTTGGACATCCATCAGTTGCGAGTCCGAGTCTATACACCTCAGGGGTGGTTCTTTTCGCTTTTTTTTGGTTGGCTTTGTCTCCAATGTTTGCTAAAAGCCTATGTGTTGCGAACGGTGATATGGATGTCTTGTCCTCGGTCCTGGTTGATGATCTAAGCATCAAGTGTATTTTTTCCGTGTAAATCTATCATAAACTGAAGAGTTCAGCTACTTACCAACTTAGCTATCACCAAGGTGATGATAAATCCCCGTTTTGGCTCATGAAGTCCCCATTTGGACACGGCCATCACGGCCGGGAGGTCCTCGTTGGCTGAGCAAAGCACTCCAGTAACCTGGACGATGATGCTTTAGATTGGTGCAACTATCCCTAAAATGGCCAAAAACTGGCTTGGTGAATGATGTTATAGTTTTTGCCCTCTGGTAAACATACAAAAAGCTATTGAAAATGGCCATTGATTTCGTGAGTTTTCCCATTAAACATGGTGATTTTCCATACTTTTTGTATGTTTACCAGAGGGTTTATCTCCAGATGACGGTGAATTTGAAGGAACATCATCCCAAACTGCTTTGAAATCGATGCAAATTGCCCAGGTTTTGTGGGTTCAATCACCCGCAGAAGAACGCCACGACAAGACACTTTGATTCAGATTGTTTCCCCTGAAACATCCCAGGAGAAGCTCTGAAGACCACCCAACCGAAAATTGCTCAAAATCCATTGTTCATATATTTTTTTTCGATTTCTTTGTCATGAACATGGATGAAAAAAAGGTTTCAAATAGCCGAGAATGGGGCCCGGTGTTCCCCATTTCATTTGCCGTTTATGTTCCCTTAACGGTTGGTGGCTATATCCCCAGCATCGCTACATTCGAAAAAAATCCCAATGAGTTGAGGCGGGTGCCATAAGATTGACTTTATGATTGATATATCAGGTTACCCTCTGGTAAACTAACATAACTATGGAAAATCACAATTTTTAATGGGAAAACTCACTATAAATGGCCATTTTCAATAGCTATGTTAAATTACCAGAGGGTATATCACTGATTTTATATTAATATTGTGTGAAAACACTATGTTTGGGATAATTGGAATAATACTGATAATACTACGTATTATTCATTGTGCCGAATATATATATATATATATTTATATTATATGTATATAATACATATT